GGGGGGAGGGGGGCGACATCGTGGCGGGAGAGGCGGCGGTGTGCAGCAGAGCAGGCGGCTGGCGGAGAAAGCAAAGTGGTGGGTGCCTGTGTCTCTCACCGCACACACACCACTGGATAAATCAAGTGCTAGGTGTTTCAGATCGGGATACATCCATTTTGCACAAGGAAAAAAAATGGGGATACATCCTGTTGTGAGAAAGGGACTGGTAGCCCTTTAGGTCATTTGATTTATATTAGCGGCAAACGTTATTCAATTCTTTTTTTATCGAGCGTCTCCGGTATGACTCTGTGGTTCAGTCATCATCATGTTATAATATTAATATTTTTCTAATATTCTTGTTATTAAGCATATCAAAATTTCTTTATCATCTAGGTCATCTTGTGGTCTCTGCATGTTAAATTACATGGAGTACTTCACAGGAGATAGTTTGTCCGACACTCCCGAACAGGTATATTTTGCATGGTATCATGATACTGATTATTTTGTGTTGTATCATTATTTGAAAACTAAGTCTTATTATTACTACTTCACTTTAGGTTCATATGACAGATTTTAGAACAAAATTAGTTGTGATTTTAGTCAACTCGGAATTCAATGATGACGATATAAGAAACCAAGACTTGGATGATGATGAAACCAACACGGATCCCCCGATTATATGATTGTCGAAAGACCTCCTAACAAACCCAAAGCATCCAACTCCTCGTCACAAGTTGAGCTCATGTCGCAAGCATTTATCCTTTCGCCGTTTGTCACTCCAACAAACAACGGCTTAATAGATGAACTTTGCTTGATAATGTTGCTTAGTTGTTATTTTTACATATTTTGTAATAATTAACAATTACAATATATTTATGTGATCGTTAATTTTATGTGAAGACATGTGTATTGGTCGTGTATTACATTTGTGAGTTTTTACGTATTTTGGTTTTGGAATTTTAGGATCACAACATTTCAACAATGGAAGTCTTTCACCGGTCAAACAAGACCTATGACTTGATCTAAAATAAATTACTATATTGAAATCATTGGGCGCGACACGCATTTAAATGTTCGGGTAAAAACACAAGACATAGTTAATGTTTTTATTGTAATTTATTAGAATACGTGCGTTGCACGTGCACGCTTACTAGTAGGAATAAGGGTCACGAACAGTCTTATCACGGTGCCAATTCACTTGCGGGCTTTTGGGCTTTGCATTCAGCGTAGGAATTTAAGTTGATGGGGTCAGCCCTTATTTTTTATTGGGTTCAAAGCATATGCGTATCTATATACTATACGTGGGCCAGACAAATTCATTGGGTTCATCTGAACCCAATGCCAATACACTGGCTCCGCCCCTGTTCTTACCAACAGTAATAATAAACTTATAACATGGAATTTATGTGTTAAAGAATTTAAATCGATAATAAAGCTTCACTGTGCTACTTAAGTCCAATATATTATTAATCTTATTATGTTTCCTGGGAGCCACACCAATCATCCATGGCAGGTTAGGCAAGCGAGCTTAACTAACCTATCGCAACGGCCGCATTGCACAATTTTCCGCTTGTTCTAATACAAAACCAACCCCACCAACATATGCACAAGAAATAACAGTATAATAAAGTCAATAAACACGACTTACCGAAACAAACTATCTGTCGTCATCAGAAGAGTTTGCATTGCAAGATGCGACCTCAACATGCTTAGGTCCATAACATACCTGCAATTAAGCAGCAAACTTTTAAGTCTAATCAGATTATGCTTGAACTAAGCAGAATCAGCGGTTGCAAGTCATATAAACATATAAAATCAGTAGTACTGGGACTGTTCTGATCTGAAATACAAGTACATATGTGTGTGTATACATGGTCAACATCTAAGCAGTAGCAACATATTAGATGAGTTAAATAAGAACTCAATGGTGCTTTTCGAAAATGACGTTTTTTATAGGTATTGGCCCGATATCAATACACGTATCCATGCAACTTAGATGAAAATACGGATAACATGAATCATAGGCCCTTGTTGTACCTAATCTTAGCAAAACTAATTACAAGATTACATTGGGATGCCAAAGGGTGATGGCACCACCACCTCAGCCATACCAGTATCGTATGCTCTATTGCAAAAGAAGCCAGGATAAGAGGGTTAAAACTCCAGACATCAAAGCTGCAGTGGATGCCCTGTTTATAAGCACATCTTACTCAAGCAAAGGCAAACAGATGTCAAAGATACAGTACTGTTGCATGATGCACTATGTTTACAGGTACAGCCTACAGGCATAAGTAACACAATAAACATTGATCTTACCTAGGCATGTTAAGACAAATACTACGACACACAAGGAGAGAGTGCCCTCCCCATTTGAGTAATAATTAAAAACAACCGAATTCATAAGGAATGTGACATTAGTGTGCCTAATCTCGTCCACTCCTCCATTCGTCCTCAAACCTCTACTTTCCTCCCAATCCTCTACTGATGTGCAAGTCCAGATTTCCTCATGTGCAGTAGTACTGGTCATTATGCAGTACATAAGAAATTTTTACAGTGTCGTGCAATGAGCAGGTGCAGTGTGCTCATTGAATTGAATACCAGAAGCTTACGCAAAACTTAACCAGGGATTCAGCTAAGTATGATATTGGCATAACTATCCTCTGGTTTGAGCTCGTACAGCAAGCCACACAGTGAAACAAGAGTTGTACAGCTAACGGAGCTTATACGAGACCTATTTGAGATGGGGTTTTAGAATCAACATCATGCACACACACAAAAAAACTATGTTTAGTTTTGCAAGAGATATAGGAAATAGCCATTTATCACAGTTTGCATATTTGAAATTTTGGCACGCCTGGGGTCTGTGCTGTGTTATTATGGCTTGTGTGATCTAGCTAGAGGGCATATGACGAAAAAGAAAGAACGAAAGAAAACAAGTATATGCCGAAACAGTCGTAGTGTTGTACAAGTGGCAAACTCTTACTAAGAGTGCAGAACTCATGCAAGAACAGGACCTGCAAACACCAGAAACACTATTAGCATTGTCAGACGCGGAGCATTAAGTACTTCCAACTCCACATTCCAGTAACTGCAACAACTATATGCATGTAAAAGCAACTATCATCTGGATCATCTCAACCTGAAAACAGAACAGAACGCAAATTTTGTAGTTCCTAAAAATGGCATTGAGCTGAGCCCCAGACCACATATTAAACCACACTTTACAGTGGCATCTATTTGAATTCCTCTAAATACTACGCAGGACACAGAAACTGCAACATCCTGCAGAAAATGAATTAGTCTAGATGACTATCAAATTTAACAAGCTGCCAGCCAAGCTCCCACTGTTGAGAAAAATCACCAAAACAATAACAGATTATGGTCCTTCATAATCACGTGCACCACTATATATGATATTCTTCTAACTCACGGGGAAAACCGTATCAATCAGCTACATTTTACAGTACCCAAACTAAATTCCTTTGTAGCAATGACACAATGCGAAGGAATTGATAATAATGTCTATCAATAAACAGATCTGATAATGAAAAGGATACCTCATGTGATGAAGCCATAAGCTCGTATAACAATAAACAGATATGATAATGAAAAAGATACTTCATGTGATGAAGCCATAAACTCGTATAAGAAAAGATAAGAGAATGTCTCACCAATTCTCTTTTTGATTCCATAGAAATATTTGGTGATCCCATCCTAGAGAATAATTCTTGGATAAAGCAAGCATCATCCTTCAGTAAGGAAATAACCTACAGAGAGATTATTCACTTATATGTAACAAAGAATAAAGAAACTGATGAGGACGCGTCAACATTAGGTGAAGGCTGAAATACTAACAGCAGCATTGTTCGTATGTATCATCTAATATTCGGGGTAATATAACATCCTGCAGATACCAAAATGAGCACAATTTTAAAACATGCAAAGTAAAGCAGTATCAAGTTTCCACAAAATTCCATCATGTAACAAATCAAGTGAGAACTGTGACTGACCTTTAGATAGCCTATTATGTATGTTTGATGTATCCTCGAAACCACAGAAATATTTTTAATAGGTATGGCCTGTAGAAGGAACAAGCTTATGTTAGAACTAATCTTGTTATTAGTGCGTACGATTAGATATGTTTATATCATGCTTGTAGTTGAGCTGCGGCTATGTGTGCACGTCAGGTTGTGTTCACGTGCAGAAGGCAAAGCTAATTATGCATGGTAGTTAGATGCATGCGTTAAAGCTCCGCGAGTCCGATGGCCGAGTTGCGTGCAGGTGGAGATGGAGCAAGAATCGGATGCATTACTTGTGGCATGCGCCAATTCAGCTAGAGGCCTGCAGAAACTTGGAAGCGACTTAAGCCGGGACGTATGTTTTGTTAGTCAGTTGAGTAATAACCGGACCAAGCCAATGTGTGTGGCTGGCCGTTGTGTGTGCATGCATGGCAGAAGTGGTGCGTGTGTGTGCATGCAGCTAGCAGCTAGGTAGTTAGTTAGTGGGTCAAAGTAGTGGCGTGAGTTTAGATGGCATGGGTTCTTGCCGTGTGTATAAATAATCATTTCAGTCAATGAGTAAAGAATGAGGGCTGGGAGAAAAGATGTAGCCATTGTATGGTCACCAGGGAAGTCCTCTCGGCAAAGCCATTGAGATCCTTTTCTCTAGTGTGTGTGTGCGTTGTGTGTGTGTGTTCCTCCGTGTATGTGTGTTCTGGTGCTCTTGACAGAAGAGAGAGTTGTGAGAGACAAAGAGAGGTAGAAGAAGAGCGGCGCCCGAGAGGCGGCGCCAACAATTGGCATCAGAGCCTTGTTGATCCGAGGCGATGGCGGCGGCGCGGCGGACTCCATGTGAGGGGGACGTTGGCGGCGCAAGGTGGACGCCGTTGGCAGCATGATGCTGCTACCCGCGGGTGCGTGTCTCCATCATCATCGAGCTGCGTCATGAGTGATGGAGAGAAGTGTGCTGCCCGGTAAGTTGCGGCACCGGCGGCAAGGAGGTGATAACCATGGAGCGGAGGCCATTGCCATGAGGTGGTCCATGTCCGAGTCGGCGATAAGGTGCGTCATCGTCAGCAACATGGAGGCGAGTCACCGACGAGTTGCGGCATCGGTGGAGAACATAGAGGCGAGTCACCGGCAAGTTGCGGCACCGGTGGCAAACATGCGGCAACGAGCGTGCCACGGCAGTGCGCTTGTGGTGAAGGCGCAGGAGGTGTGGCTCTCATCGAGGCCAACGATGACGACAACAATCGGCGTGACAAGATGGCATTGGTGGCTGTCTGCGTGTTGCATCGACGACGTCAACAATCAGTGGCTTCAAGAGAGAAATAAGTTAACAAGATTAGGAAGGTGAATGTTAGAACTAATCTTGTTATTAGTGCGTACGATTAAATATGTTTATATCATGCTTGTAGTTGAGCTGTGGCTATGTGTGCACGTCAGGTTGTGTTCACGTGCAGAAGGCAAAGCTAATTATGCATGGTAGTTAGATGCATGCGTTAAAGCTCCGCGAGTCCGATGGCCGAGTTGCATGCAGGTAGAGATGGAGCAAGAATCGGATGCATTACTTGTGGCATGCGCCAATTCAGCTAGAGGCCTGCAGAAACTTGGAAGCGACTTAAGCCGGGACGTATGTTTTGTTAGTCAGTTGAGTAATAACCGGACCAAGCCAATGTGTGTGGCTGGCCGTTGTGTGTGCATGCATGGCAGAAGTGGTGCGTGTGTGTGCATGCAGCTAGCAGCTAGGTAGTTAGTTAGTGGGTCAAAGTAGTGGCGTGAGTTTAGATGGCATGGGTTCTTGCCGTGTGTATAAATAATCATTTCAGTCAATGAGTAAAGAATGAGGGCTGGGAGAAAAGATGTAGCCATTGTATGGTCACCAGGGAAGTCCTCTCGGCAAAGCCATTGAGATCCTTTTCTCTAGTGTGTGTGTGTGCGTTGTGTGTGTGTTCCTCCGTGTATGTGTGTTCTGGTGCTCTTGACAGAAGAGAGAGTTGTGAGAGACAAAGAGAGGTAGAAGAAGAGCGGCGCCCGAGAGGCGGCGCCAACAGCTTATACTAAATATTTATTAATTCAGGATAGTTAAGGAGAATAAAGATCAGCACACCTCTTTGAAAACTACATGATCCTTCAGAAAAATACGATGTTTTTGCACTTTAGCAACCTCTGGATCATCGTACCAGTTATAATTCACTAAAATTAGTAGAAAAAAATGAAGCAACCTCACAGGCTAAATATCATGTGGAGATCATCTAAATTCTTTAAATCCCCACACATTCTAAAAACGTCCAGCTGCTTGGGGAGGAAAATCACGCTGAAACAATGCCAATCAAGGACTAGAGAAGCAATGATAAGAACATGCCATAATCTATATGACCACTAGATGCTCATATTTAGGGGAGACCATAGACAAATCAGTTGTTCCTGTGTAACTGCACAGCGTGCGTGAATGTAACTTAGTGAGGTATGCTTAACATGAGAGAATAAGACAAGCTTATTCTGTATACAACCTGACGGTTGTGGTACTCGCAGGTGTAAATTTAGGGTGTCCAAACCCCACTAAGAACAAAGGAGGTTTCTTTCAAGACCAC